CCCAGGACCCTGGGATCATGACCTGAGCCACCCAGGCGCCCCAGGGACTGAGGATTTCCGATTTAAACCTTAGTAATTCTTTGGTTCTACAAAAATGAAAATGTAATATCTGTTGAAAATATAGATCATCGGAAGAGTCTGCATATACTCCCCCTTCTGATTCACAAAAGATGGTTTATGCAACTTTACTAAAGAGACTACAGCAAGAACCGCTCGGAGGAATTGTTGGACCAGATTACGTGACTGGATCAAACCTGCCCAGTCATTCTGATATCCACATCTCTTGTCTTACGGGATTAAAAATCCAGGTATAGCCTAATGTAAGGCATAAATTGTTCATTTCCATTGTTGCCCTTGTTTCATTATTTTTAAAAATGTGGTCTTAAAGTAAGCATAATCTGAATAAAAGTAGGTACCTATAAAGAGGACTCTTGCCTAGTGAGAACATATTGCCCTTAATGCTCTGTAGTTGGTATAAATGGTCTCTCTGTCCTTAAAATAAATTCAGAGAGATGGTCATGGTATTATTACCATGAAAGCAATTCATGTAATAGGTATACTTAGTAACAAATGCTAAAAATACATGTAGATCATATCCTTAGGGAAATTAAATAGGGGAGGACAAAGCAACAGTCAACACAGTTATAAATTATCATATCACAATAGATTAAAATTAACTTTGTAGTCTCCATTTTTATTTTATAAACACAAAGAAATTAAGAACTGGCATATGTATATTGTTGATATACATGTTCTTACACTGACTTACTGAATTTTTCAGCAATTACAAATTATTGGGATCGATCATGAGGGAGGGCTAATCCCTAAGGAAGGTCCCTAGTGTACAGTCAAAAGTAATGATGGGGAATGATACCTCCCAGTGCCCCACTTCTGGGGAAAGTGGAGACGTCTTCATGGTCTCAGAGCTAGGCCAGGTGGAGGTGTCCACACGGAGAAACCAAGCTGAGTCCACATAGACTGCAGATTGAAGCTCCAGTCCGGACTGAAAGAACACCACTTCCCAGAAAAATGTTCACATTTTACACAGTGGATTCTTCTGTTTCTAATGGAATGTGACTAATTACATCTCTAATACTGATATGCCAGGCCAATGGGGACAGCTATTTTTGGGATAACCACTTGAAGTAAATTAAATAGCTTGCTGCTTACGTAAACCCTCACCATAGCTTGACTTGAGACTATCAACTAATTACGTCTTCAGAATATGCTAATATAGTCCAAAAAACAGATAGGACACTTAGTTGTGTGCATGCTTTTTTATCCACTTATGTTCAAAGATAAAGAATCAAAGCAGTAAATTCAATAACTTATAATTAAGAGCAAAAAATATCATGCAATTTTTAAGAATATATCTTCAGTGCTACTTGCTGCCCTCCCTGTGCCCTAGTCCTTCCTTCGTATTCCTAGCGCCCCTTCCTGTTTCTCTTCCTTCATATTCTTATCGCACCTTCCTGTTTCTCTTCCTTCATATTCCTAGCGCCCCTTCCTGTTTCTCCTCCTTCATATTCCTAGAGCGCCCCTTCCTGTTTCTCTTCCTTCGTATTCCTAGCGCACCTTCCTGTTTCTCTTCCTTCGTGTTCCTAGCGCACTTTCCTGTTTCTCTTCCTTCCTATTCCTAGCGCGCCCCTTCCTGTTTCTCTTCCTTCGTATTCCTAGTGCCCCTTCCTGTTTCTCTTCCTTCATATTCCTAGCGCGCCCCTTCCTGTTTCTCTTCCTTCGTATTCCTCGCGCCCCTTCCTATTTCTCCTCCTTCATATTCCTAGCGCGCCACTTCCTGTTTCTCTTCCTTCATATTCCTAGCGTGCCCCTTCCTGTTTCTCTTCCTTCGTATTCCTGCTGCACCTTCCTGTTTCTTTTCCTTCGTATTCCTCGCACCCCTTCCTATTTCTCCTCCTTAATATTCCTAGCACGCCCCTTCCTGTTTCTCTTCCTTCGTATTCCTAGCGC